CCCCGCGTCAGCTGCGCGGGCCCGCAAGGAGGGGGGAGCCGGGTCCGCGCGACAGGAGAGCGCGTCTCGCCTGCGCTTCCTTTCTCCGAGCCACAGTCGGCTGCTACTCGGAGGCCTCCAGGCCAGACGGCAAAAGCTGCCCCCCTCCTTTCCAGGGGCAACCTCTGGGATTTTGCGGTTCGCGTTCGACGGGTTCTCGATCTCCTGGGAAGTGCTGGTCCTCTCCTGGTGGTTATCTCCTTGAAGATGCTGTCGCCTCACGCTTGGGCAAAGTGTCTACCTGGATGACAGCCCCCTGCCGCCCTCCCCGTCCCGAGTGGGTGCTGCACCGGGGGTGTCTTTCGGGTCTCGCCTGTGATCCTCTAAGTGCAGGGAGAGGAACGATCCCAGCTATGCGCGACTCTGCCCCTCGCAGGTCTGCTGGATGCGTGTGTGGTCAGTGAGCTTCAAACCATCAACAGTTCCCAGCAACGAAGAAGTCAGCTGGTGCAGAGCTTCGCTGCTCTTTATGGGAGAAATCCAGGAAAGCCGGTGTTCACATGTTGGGATGCAAGACTCCTTTGCATCCCCGTGCCCTGTCCTCCGCTAACCCCGCCCCCAGCCGTATCGATGAGGTCTGTAGTCCAGGTGAGAATGTCGCCTTCCTGCATGTGGATGCTCAGCGGAACTCAAGGCTGTATCCAAGGAGGGCACAGTCAGGGAGAGGCGTCGATGCGAAAATTGCCAAATAGCACAAACAATGAATGTTTTCTGGTTGTGATCTAAATGCCAAAATGGCACTTTGGTATCTGCAAAGTGCTTTATGCTTTTTAGTGATTGTTAGTTGTTTCTCACATCATTGTGAGGTAGATCAGTATTATGACCCCTGTCTTGGGGCAGGCCTGAGGCCAGGTGTGTGCAGCCTGTCCTGAAGAGAGGCTGATGACTAGTGTGAACATTTGTGGCTCGACCTCGTGCGCTCTCCAGCCCAGCTGCTAGGAAGACTTACCTGTCATGATTTATCGAGTAAAATAAGGACTCTGAAAATTCTTATGCTTGGTGGAAGACGTAAGGCTAGCCTAGAAGGGCCTCAAAGGACCTTGTTGACAAAGCTGGTCTTTGTCACCTAATTAGCATATCCTAGCTATGTTCTGTTTCTAGTAGGGGGTTGTAATTAGAGGTCTCTTGTGTAGATTTCGGCTACCTATGCTGAAAATCCCTCCCCTAGGTTAGCCTGTAGAAGGTAGAGTTGTGGAAGGCAGTATTGCTGTTATCTTCACTAGTGATTGTTACCCTACACATTTCGTGGAAGCATCTTCACAAACTGTTGGACACAGTTGAAGGGGGAAAAAAAGCTATAAGATGGTTTTTACAGTTTTAGCCAAGTTTCTGTGGATGGTAGTTATTTATACTTGATCAGTTGTATTCTAGTAAGGAACCTCTTTGGGGACTGTAGGAAAGCATGCTTTTGCTGTTATAATATCACTTTTTAAACCTCCCAGTAATTCTGGGTTGTATAATGCCTGTTGATCTTGCCCTCTTAATCAGTCTATTGTCATTCACAAATGCAAATAGATTTTCAAGCTGTGGACAGTTTTGAAAGACACTAATTCTCATTTTCTTTTAGTCAAGAGTAACACAAGCAAAATCAGTGTCCATTATTCTGACTCTTGTAGTCTGAATACTAAGTGTGTAAGACCCACCTGAAAATAATGTAGCCAGTTTGTAGATAATCATACTCTGTGGGTTTTTCCATGCACATCTACCTCTTCCAGCTATTTTAAGTTCTCTCAAGTCTGTGCCTATGGAATCTCATTCAACTTCTGATTACTCATGGGTTGATTGTCCACTTTATGGTTTACTTGGTCTTTTACTGCCGTTGTTAAGCACAATCTCCTCTGCATCGACTATGCCACATGTCGCCAACTTTAGAGGAAGGGCTCAACAGGGAGTGGAGATTGAAGCTAATATAAAATAGTGGCATAGATATCTTTGGATTTCATTTGCCTCTCTTGTTCCTCTCGTGTTCCTTCTGTTACCACAGATAAGAGAGTCAGCCACTATGTTGGTATTCATTCTATGAGCAAATCCCTTAGAACAAGAAAATGGTTCAACTACGCCCCCCCCCCCACTTTATTGGTGCATTGAAAATGTGATTCCATTTTTCTTTTTTTTTACAATTCTTCAGGGAACATATCTGCATTACGTGAGGTGAAATGCACTCAGGAGGTTGTTTCTTGGGTCTAATTTTAGAGTAATAGTATTTCTTCAGCAAACCCTATTAACTGTGGTTCACCCCGAAAATGTTAATCTGAAGACTCCTACCGACTCATTAATGATGGAGACAAGAGTGTTACAGGAAGTCCTGACATACAAACGAGTTCGGTTCTGAGAGCATGTTCATAAGTCCACTTGTTACAAGTCCAACAAAGTTAGCCTCGGTACCCAACTAACACAATCGGCAATATAACATTGGATATATTTAACAGGCTATACTGACACCTGGGGGAGAGAAAGAATACATAAAGATGCAGGTGTGTATTGTTAAAGTTTGTAACTTGAATGTTCATATGTAGGGGACTTACTGTATTTGTTTTCTGGAGAGTTTGGTCAAAAGCAGGCTTCCTCTACTGCCCTTACTAAGCAGAACCTGGAACAGTTTAGATAGGCTAGGTGGTTTTTATTAAATCTTGAGCTCTGAGTTGGAAGGAGAAGATGAGAAGTCAATCCCTTGAGCCATGTGGTCTCTTTGCAATCAAGAGACTACATATGTGAAACAGTACAAATTAAGAACCTGTGTTCATAGACAATCTGAACTGTGTTTCTGAAGTTTGTGCACATTTTCCTTCACTGTAATGTTATTTTACAGCTGTTTGTTAAACTAGTGAATAATTTAATGATCCTAAAAGTAACAGGTTTTATGTGAGTGTGTGCTTGTGTATGTGAGAATTGCCTTATTTTCAGGCTGTTTTATTTAATGATGGTTCCTTGGACAGCAATCTGGTGTTCAGCAACCAATATGGAATATTTGTCATTAAATCCATATCAGTCTTATTTCATACCATGTCATTATTTCTTCCTTGTCACCCATTAAATGTCACTCAGCTCAATCTATGGAAGCTGTCTTCCAGCAGAACGAGGGTTGGCAAACTATCAAATCTGGCCTGTGACATTTTGTACATACAATTTTATTGGAATACAAATACGGTCAGGCCCATATAACCACGTTTACATAGTATTGTCAGTGGTTACCTTCCACACTACAACAGCAAAGTTGAATAGTTGTGATAGAGGCTATACAGCCCACAGTCCTAAGATGTTTAGTATCTGGACATTTTACAGAAAAATTTGCTGACTCCTGTACAAGAATGCTAAGATGGATCCTAGATTATCCTGAAATTGGCTGTTGGCTGACCCATTCTAAGCAGTAATTCAGTGCAACACTTTACTTCTGTGCTAATTTGGCTTTGGGATATTGGGAATATGCTAATGTTATACCAATGGCATCAATTTCCAAAGATCTGTGTCTTCATTTTTTATCAACCTGTGGGAGATTTTAGGGGGATGATCAGGGACAGATAGTTATGGAGAAGGGAGACAGTCTCATCTCCAATCTATGAAGTGTGTATTCCTGAATCACATAACAGAATATTTTCTTTCCCCTAGTTCTCAGAAATGTCACTTAGTGGTTACTGATAGTACCGAATGAAACTTACAAGCTAGACTAGGCTTTTGCTCAAAATATTTTTTAGTCAGTCTCTGCCCAACCTCATGGAAACAGCAGTTTCTAAAGATGAGGTAGCAAAGAGGAAGCAATTAATTGTTTTTTAAATAATCACAACTACTGCCTTGTTTGAATGTCTACAAGTCCGTTTTACAAATGCTGGGTCTTCGTTCTGGAAAGAGGCAGTCGCAGTGATGTGCTCATGACATTTTCCCCCAAGCCTAGCTATTCTGACCTGAAGCATCAATCAGATTTGCTCTAAGTGTTACAGGCAGCTCTTGAGAAAACTGTATCATGCCAGGTGCTTTAATATAGGTCAATCTTTATTAAACACGTACAGCAGTAAATCTGGTCCACTGGGCTCTACCTTGTCAAGCTGCCCAGCCTGAATTTGTTAGAGTGAATCTCTGCCCACATTCCAATCAGAGAAACTATCTGGTCCACTTAGAATTCTTAGAATTCTTGGGGCTTGATTAGTTTAGGCTAGAGAGATTCTTAACCTTGAAAACTTCAGAAAACAAAAAATCTGGAGATTGATTCATTGGAATGAGGCTCAAAGACCTGTCATTTTACAAAAACTCTGTAGGACCTCTGTGTCTTGGGGATTACAGTCAGTTTCACACACAAGCCTCGATTTCTCTCTCTGCCAAGGGGCATAGAGGCAAAGGGCGTTGTCGGGGCCAGGGGCTTTGCTGCCTGCCTGCTGTTGGCAGGCCTGGCGCTCAGAGATCATCAGTGAGGCCAGGAGAAAGGCCTGGCTTCGCCGTTCAGGAGCTAATGCTGGAGGGAGCTTGGCAGGCTGCCGCTGGCTGCACGGGCCTCACCACCCCGTCGGCCGTCATGCCCTTCATGCCCTTCTCTGGGTCTTCACCCTCCCCGCTCCGCTCTCAAAGCGGAGCTCCACGCATGGCTGGCTTTTCTCGGCCGCCCTGGGCATTCGCGTGGTTTCCTTCCGCGCCGCTCCTGGGAGGGGAGGGGCACACCTA